GAGCAGCAGGTGTCTGGATTAATGGACAATCACGTGTGTGTACGTCCTCCTGAAGTAATCCCTCTCTAACGTGACCGAGAAAATAAACCAACAGTTCTCAAACTGCATCAAAATAACTTATGAAGTTAAAGATAATTTGAGGTTTCAGCAGTTTCAGTTACAGTGTTTGGTTAGATTTGCAGAGGAACATTTACTCAAGTACTTTACTTTAGTAGAAATTTGACGTAGTTGTACTTTTAGGAGGATCTATTGTCAGAAATGGAATTTAATATTCATTTTGGGAATATTGGCTTTATTAGATACAGCTTAGCATGGACGGGGGGGAGAGGAGGGATGATACACGAGAGAGCCACAGGTCGGACTCGAACCCTGCAACAGGTACTCAGCCTTGGTACATGAGGCGGCAGCTCTACCGGGGCGCTCCAGGGATATAATATTTATAAGTATGTTTTCATTAGTGCATAATCACCTGAAAATAAGAATCATGTTTTTGTTTGAGTTGTTCCTCTTCGAAGGAGTCCGACATATTTCTGCAGTAGCCCAGAATGGACAAACCAAACACCGGCTCTATAAGGCCTTTCACATTTTCTTTCCTTCTGTAGTCGCTGTAGTTGAGCTGTATTCACTTTGTTACAATCTGCATCTTAGCTGGTGGATGCCACTGAATTCTACACACTGATGCTTTGAGTAAAGGATTGAAGTATTTCCTCCACCACTGTGGGATCAATAAAGTTTATCTGATCTTATCTTTTCTTATCTTCTCTAATCTTATCTAATCTTATTTTATCTAATCTTATCTAATCTTATTTTATCTAATCTTGGGACAAAAACCTTGACAATAATCCTTCATATGACAACCTGTGACGAAGATCCCCACTTTGATTTGTGCTGAAGAGAAGCTGCAGAGATTTTCCTTCATTAAAATTAAATCAGAGACATTTTAGTGGACAAGAGTAATGGTTAAAACATTTTCGAATAGAAAAAAACAAATTGAACGTATTCATAAACACAAATAGTTAAATAATACTATGATGCTTAGGCAAGGGGGATGGACTCAGACTCCACTGAATGGGCACCAGCAAACAGAAAGTTGTGATGCATTTATGGTGAAACAGCTTATTCACTGTGGGAATTATCACCCTAGAGGGCACTTTTGTTGCATTTCTTTTCAAATGTGTTGGCACGAGAGGCAATTGCTGATGGGAATTTAACTCGCTTTGCAGGTTTCTGAACATAAAACAAAGTTGATTATGGTCCAGAGTTATTATAATTTATCCTGAGGGGAACATGAATATTTGGTGCAAGTTTCATGGCAATCCATCCGACAGTCGTTGAGATATTTTATTCAGAGCCACAGTGTCGACCTGCTGGTGGCACTATGGGAACAGACAGAGCATCAGCAGAGTGATTAGGATTCATCCTCCTGGGGCAGCCGTCGCTCTCCTGTGCGTGGGTGTGTGGATCAGAGAGGGGAGGGGCAGAGGCAGGTCAGGTGAGGTCAGTCATTTGATACAACTGTTGTTGTTCCACCTCACCTGTTTGAGTTTGTTTGTTAACTAACAAAGAGATTTCCTTTAAAATGTCTCACCTTTACTCATCGATATTTGCAGAAACTAAAGAAAGACACTGATGTGAGTTAGTCGAGACCTTCAGAGAAACACTGGTAGTATTTCTGTCTGACTCACATTGTCACAACTTATTTCTGATCACATCTACCCTCACTTTATATTACTTACTTTTAATCTTTAAGCAAAATACTTTTTAAGAGCTCAATGTCCATATCAGACAACACATTTCTACAAAATCTGAATTTACAAACATGAACAAGCTGTAAAAACGTATATTTAGATAGAAAATATATTTATTGAACTGTTAATTATTTATGTTTTATCTTTTTTTTAAGTCACCCTTGCATGTTTTAAACTCAACCTGTATACTCAAGAGGTTTTAAGTTGTTACTTGTTTCAATAGTAGAATAAAGTAGAAAAGAAACGTTTGATCTGCAGGAGGAAGTGACATAAAACTGACACTTTCAAAATGGCTGACTCTTGTTTAAATACAGATTAATATTTTAATAATGATCAGCTGACAAATGCAAAGTGAGGATTTTTTAAATAATCTATAACTCTTCAGTCACAGTGAGTTCCCCTGTAGTATATTTAACGTATTCTCTGCTGATGTACTGTCAGCGGACACAGGTGAGTTTCTGATGAATCATTGATGGATCGGACGGATTTAGTTCAGTAAAAGCAGAAACGTGTCGCACGTGTCTGAATGTGGAACAAACTCAGCCGCTGAGCCTCCGACCACAGACTGAGCACAGATTAAGGTCAAAGGTCAGCAGGTGGCTGCGGCTCTGCAGGTCAACTGTCCATCTGAACGAGCTCACAAACAAAACGTGTTACTGTCAGAGGAAAACCTGTCGACTGCATTATACTGTACAATGCTTAATATAGATATACTCTGTGCAACTTGACAGGATACCTTAATAAAAGAAGTACATTAACAGAACTTAATCCGCCAACAAATGTGGAGTCATTTAATAGCATAAATTAAACCAAACTCAAAAAAAAATTATTTAAGTAATAACTTAATTTGTGCAGTATTTTAAGTATCGGTGATGATATAATAAATATATAACTCCATTGATTCGTTTTCTTTAAATTGACTTTATATAATTATAAATTTGCTTACTGTGCTATAATGCTTAGGATTTCTTCATCTTTTGTTTTTATTTTGTTTATGAATCATCATATGACCAAGTATGCATCCAAATTATTCTTAATGATCCCCAAAATGTAAAGATTTTATGTTATTCACATAAAAAAAACAAGCAGGTTAGAAGTGGCAGTAACAATTAGATTAGATGATCCACACACAACATTTGTATAAAGAAGAAGCATTTAAGTGAGTCTGATCAATTCTGTTGACACATTTTAAACAGGTTTGGAGAACTGCTGTATATGAGTGTAATAACCTTTTAAGTTTTAAGTTAATTTAACTGTATTACCTGGTATAATTAACTTAATTAATGATTACATTGTTTGACTTAAAAAAATTGGTTTCAGGCTGGTTTCCTCAAACAGTTTGAGTTGAACTAACTCATCGGGTTTTACAGTGTAATAACTTCTTTCTAGGGCTGCAACTACATTATTGATTAATCTACTATCTATTTGATTGATTATTATGTTCATCATTTGGTCAATAAATCTAAATCCTTAAGATATTTAGCTTCATAAAGACAGTTGCAGTCTGTCTGGTGTTTCTACCTGATCGACTTCACTGGGGAATTTATATGAATGATGATATTTATTAATGGATCATTTAAGCACAGGTTTGGTTTGATCACAGTAAAGATAATTTAAACAAAGAGTCAAACAGTTCACATCGTTGTACGGATTAGGGTTGGGGGGAGACTCATTTATTGTTTATAAGTTCCTCATTTATTGGTAAATAATTGGTCATAATGTTAAGTTTACAGTTTCAAACACCACTTTTCTCCAGTGGTGTTATTACTTTTAATTTAATAGTTTGTTTAATCTTATTATAATATTCTTTTCCACTGATTTGTTTGCCCAAGTTTTCTTGCATTATAGCAAACTATGTAGGAAAGTTCTGCAGGATTCTGGGTAATAAATAGGCAAATCAAGGCCACTTTATTTGTGTAACACTCATACAGAGACTAGTCTAACATGTGTGAAGTAAATCATATTCAAATTGTGAAGGCACAACACCAAAGTGTGTGATGTAAAGCCGCAGTGCGTCGGTGTATAATGTAATGATGCTCCATATATAAAACAAGCAGCTGTTCTGTGCGTGTGCGTTCGTGTGTGTGTGTGTGTGTGTGTGTGTTGCAGCTGCTGACATCATCACTGTGCTGTCTCTGATATTTTTAACATATCCTCCTTCAGACTATTAACAGAAAGATACACTCGCTTTCTCCCAGTTGTCTCTGTTTAACATGGATAACTTACTACCAGAGGAATGTTTGTTGGTCTCTCACAGGAATGTTTTTGTTTGGTAGAAGTGTCATAAAATCTCAAATACTTTATTAGAAAACATAAAAACTTTGATTGTATGAAAGAACTTTGTGTAAAACTCCATTGTCTCTATCTTTCCAGGGCGTGTTCACTTGTGTTCATTGTGTAAACGTTGGTGGAAACTGAGTACTTAAGTATTGTCCTTAAGTACTTTACTGGAGTAAGTATTATACTTTTTACCCCAACACATTCATTTCATAACTTTAATTGATTGATTTAATGAATTAAATTTACTTTGCAGATTCAGATTCATATTAACAAATAAGTTATGATGTATTACTGAAGGTCAAAATAAAACAATATATACCTTTATACCTGTACTGTATATTTATAGCCCTATATTTAAATCCTATATTACCTTTAAATTACACTACTGTATATATTTGTTGTCCTGTGCAGTTACATTTATTTTTAAACCTGTAACCTGTGTAATGTTCCATATGAGTCACATCTGTATATAAAAAGGTGTATATAGTGTACTTTATTTATAACCCTTATTCTTATTTTTCACTTCCTTTTATATCTTGTATTTTTTCTGTTATATTAATGTGTGTTTTGTAATCTGTTGTGTTGTACCTGGAGCTGCTGTAGCAAGTGAGTTTCCCCACTGTGGGATCAATAAAGTCTATCTTATCTTATCTTAAGCTGCAGTATATAACTTGAATAAAACTAATGACTATAATCCCATAACACAATATAAATTATGATAAAGTACTTTCACTTTTGGTACTTCAGGTTATATTTAGATAATAATACTTTATACTTTTGAATGCAGGACTTTTACTTACATAACATTTCTGCATTGTGCAATAACTTATACTTAAACGTGCGCCTTTACTTTCAATAAAGACACATATCGAAACTCTCTCGTGGCTGTTTTCTGACGAATGATCGGCTCGGGATTGCAACATCGAGGCTCCGCCCACCGCGCTGGATGACGACACCGCGGGTGGGAACAACGTAACCAAACAGACCCTGAGTCAGTCCCGGTCCTCAGTCCGGCTGAAAGTTCTGGAGCAGAGCGGGGTCAGAGCAGACCGGAGTCCGGAGGGTCAGACTGGATCACAAAAACCACACCGACACACGGAAGGTTGCTGTACTTTAAACTCGGACAGGAGGACGGAAGGACTCGGTTTTACTCGGCTTTGTTCGCTTCAGCACCGGATACATATATATATATATATACTCATTTATTTAAAAAAAAACTAGTTTCATTTCTATTTTAAATCAGTAGTTTCGGTTTGTTTTGGGATGTTTTAACCGTGAGTTTGATTTCATTCAAACTGGAGAAGAAGCCGAACAACAGCTGACGACAGGTTGCGCAACACGACAATAATAAGGACACAAAGACGTCATCACCAGTTCTCCCAGTATCAGACCTGCTGGTTCCAGTCGGAGCTCAAACTTTAACAACAACAACAAAGCTTTGTATGTCTTCAGCAACTTCTGCTCCACAGACAGACAGAAAGACAGACAGACAGAGACCAGCAGCTCCACACTGACTCCACTGGGTTTCTACTGTACTGGATCTACTGGTTTCCTGTTCCAGCTGCAGTCCGGATCAGTCTGTCTGTGTGAACCAAGCACAAGGTAAGAAACTGACCCGAGAGCAGTGGTTGAAAATAAGACACTCAGTTACAGGTAAAGGTCGTTTTATTCAGAGTAAAGTAAAACTAGTGTAACCAGTAAAATGCAGTTGAACAGTATTCTGTCAGAGTTATATGACTGTTATTTTATATTGTATTACTTTTACTGATCCATTACAGCCTCCATATGTTGTCCAGGTGGAGCTCATTTTACTCCTTCATAAAGTTTCTGGTTGTTAAATGATCTGTTATTTTATGTTAAAGTAAACCGAGCTGCAGTAGAACAATATCTACCTCTGAGATGTGTACAAAGTACCTCAAAGTTCATTCTTGACCTTCTAACAAACAAAAAAGCAATTTGACTAATTGCTAGCCTTTTCTGGAGCTTTCAGCCTAACATATGGTCTTCATCAGCAGATGGAGTTTGCCCAGTTGTCATGGAGACGGGTCTGTTAGCATTTGAGCTGTAATGGTTTTAGCTTATAAGTTATTGATGTCCACGTTAGCTTTAAAGAGCCTGATCGATTTGATGAACATCGTGGTACAGTTGAGAGGTCTGGTAACAGAAAGTGGACATTGAGGGTTTTTTTTTTTTCAATTAAAGTCCTATTTCTATACTCTGGTTCTAAACTTTTTAAGTCAGTAAGGACGACTGACTCCATGACAACTGAGCAAACTGCATCCACTGATGAAGATGGGTAAAAAGCCCGGGACATCAGTAAGTGGACCTTTGAGGCTTATTTTAAAAACAGGGTCAAACTTATGAACAGATGAGCAGTGAGCAGAGAATGAGCCTCAGTAATGGAAGATATTCAGATTAAAGGATTAACATCTGAACTTCTGACTGAGCTCTGTGACTTTTTAACAAACGTTAAACCCGGCTGGTCCGGTCAATAATCCATCCCTGTTTACAAGTTAGTAAAACAAAATGTTGATTTTTCATATATTTCACAATACAAATATATAATAATAATAATACTGAGGCAACAAATAAATATGTAGTCATGGTTTTCAAAAAGATAGAGGTAAAGAAAGATGACATATTCTTCATTTAATTAACAAAGAAAGAAAAAAGCAAGAGAAAATACAAAAGAAAAACAACAACATAGAAAGTAATGTCAACATGTCAACTGTCCATGTTGACATCTTAGACACTCCCTAAACAGGTTTCCTCACTTTTTGAAGTTCTCCAGCCCGTCCTCTGTTTACGTTGGTATGAATAATACTTGTTAGTTGCAGCTCTTCTAATCTTTACGATGAGTCTGTAAAAATGCCACCAGAGGCTGATTTACGCTGAAAACAAAAGTGAAACGTCTCAGCGAGGCCTCCGACTGAATCAGACACAGGAAGAGAGATCAGTAACGTTCAGTACAGTCAAATGGAGTTCAAGTTTCACCGTATAAAAGTTCAGAAGAGTCTAATGTAATCTTGAATTCCTGAAAGAGCTGAAGAGATGACAGCAGCACAGATTCACTGTGTGTGTGTCACTGTGTGTGTGTGTCGGTGGATGACGTTGTCGCGGTGACGCTGTGACTCAGGGTGTTTCACCAGAGTAGCCAGCAGCAGGTTTCCACACTGCGTCACCACGGCAACCACAGGTTCAGAAAAACTTTATATAAAAAAAAAAAACACACACTCCCTCACTGTGTGTGTATGTGTGTGTGTGTGTGTGTGTGTGTGTGTGTGTGTGTGTAGAAGGTGTTGACTGTATTTAAAGCCTGTTTAAACTATAAACTGTTGTGCTCTGATGCAACGATCTGAAAGCTGAAGCGTCTGTCAGCTTACAGGAAGTTGCATCATGAAGCCTATAGACACGTTAACAGTGTAACATGTGAGCGGTAGAGACACAGAACACGGCGAGATGTGATACTAATAAAACTCCTCTTACTGTATGTGAAAATATTACTAAAGAGGGTTTGATTGGAGGGAAGAGGGCATGCTGTGATGTCCCCAGCAGAGGGCGCTGCAGTGCACAAATAAGAACCAGGAGTTGAACTAGTGTCCAATATAACTTACCTAACAAGTGTTAACTAGAACCAGCTATATCCCACAACTTCTCACTTAAATAAAGCTCTCATGCATACCTGAAATACACCTGAGCTATACCACATCTGCAGACTAAGAGCCGCTATAATCCATAGTTTTACAGCAATGTATGAAATGGTGAATGTAGTGGAGCTTTTAACAGCTAGAGATCAGTTCCCATCAGTTGGTAGAGACCATAATAAGAGGAAATAATGGACTTACATCCATCAGTCGGACACAAAAACGACTCCAAATGATGAGTTGCTGAATGTGTGAACGAGCAGCTGTTGGCGAACAACTTAAATATGTTGTGTCAAGGTTGTTTCCACTGTCGCCACACCCTTGACCAATCACAGCATGAAGTTGCTGTGTAAGTTACTTGTAACATTTCAGTTCTTTCTAAAGTTATTCAGAATATTGTTACTCAAACAGGAATTGTTTCATCAGAGAGAACTGGTTCTAGTGAAGCTTTCCACACATAAGCAGCTTTGAACGTCCCTGCAGCTGCTTCACAGTATGAAGTGTGTTAATTAACCGGATGTGATGTCACTTGTCTCCTCCAATCACAGATGAGCTTGGGCGCGTCTACAGCCAGGTCTCAGCGGTGTCTGAAGAGACTACTGGACGAACCCCAGGAGAATTTACCAAAATGTAAACTAGCCCGTCTGACTCTGCAACCTCTCGCCACCGGCCTGTCACCCTGCCTCAGCCCCAGAAACCCCGCCCCCAAGTCCACCCAGAGCGAATCCCCATCCAGAGTCGGGCCGTACCTCCTGTTGGAACGTTGCGAGGGGGAGGAGACTTACAGGGCCGAGCACGCACACACAAAGCAGCAATACACCTGCCAGGTAGCTCCGCCTACTGTATATATACTACAGATACTTCTGATCCTGTTGTTTAATGTTGAAAATACTACTTACTACTACTGATACTGATACTGCCAGTAATGTTGCTAATACTGCTGAAAAAAACTGAAGATATTCTAACCACTCTTTCCGGTTGCCATGGTTACAGGTGCTCCCTCTGCGTGGTTACCTGGAGCGTTTGGCTGCCTACAACCGGATTGGTCACCACGACAACATCTGCGGCCTGCTGGACGTGGTGATTGGCCAGGACAGCGTGTACGTCTTCCTGCCCGGGCACCACGGCGACATGCACGCGTACATGCGAAGCAGGAAGCGTCTGGGCGAGGAGGAGGCGGGGCATCTGTTCGCTCAGATCTTGAGCGCCGTGACGCACTGTCATCGCCATGGAGTCGTCCTGAGAGACCTGAAGCTCCGAAGGTTCGTCTTCACTGACAAACACAGGTGAGACTGACTGTTAATTCTACTCGTACTGCATAATACACAGACACGGAAGTGACTTTGGATACTGTAAAATACTACTAATACTGTCATTAACACTTAATACTGCTAAAAGTACTAACAATACTGCTGACACTTCTAGAAATACTGCTAAACTGACTATGGATACAACTTACATTGCTAATAACACACCAGTAGTATCAGCAGTATTAGTAGCAGTATCAATATAATTAGTAGTACCAGTGATATAGATGAATAATAATAATATAAATAACCACCATCACTACAGACAGGACTGCTGTCACTGCTGATGCTTTAACTGTGTGTGTGTTTTTCTTTCTGCAGGACTCGTCTCGCTCTCCTCGGCCTCAACGACTGCGTCCTCCTGCACGGTAACCATGACGACGACTCTCTGACGGACAGGCACGGCTGCCCCGCCTACGTCAGCCCCGAGCTGCTGACCAATGGGAAAGGTTCTTACTCGGGCCGCGCCGCAGACATCTGGAGCCTGGGCGTGTCCCTGTACACCATGTTGATTGGACGATACCCGTTTCAGGACACGCAGCCCGCCGCGCTGTTCGCCAAGATCCGCCGCGGGGCCTTCAGCCTGCCCGACTGGCTGTCACCGCAAGCCAAGTGTCTGATTGGCTGCATGCTGAGGAAGTCGCCCGCAGAGAGGCTGGAGGCGTCGGAGCTGCTGATGCACCCGTGGCTGACCAATCCCTACACGCCACACCGCAACACGCACAAGACGCATCAGAGCTCACAAAAAACACTACAGAGTAAACAAGAGGACGACGACCAGGTGGTGCCAACATGGACAGAGGAAAAACACTAACACACACCTTTTGTACTTCTATACTTGTGAGGACCCGCATTAATATATAATCCCATAACCATCACGACTAATTAACCCCAAACTTCACGCTAAACTTAACCTAAACCAGATTAAAACTGAGTCAGAACGTCTTCACTCCCTCAGCCAAAAACTCAAATTGGTCCTCGCAAAGATAGACACACAAGAGCACACACACACACACACACACACACACACACACACACACACACACACACACACACACACACACACTATAGAGACTGATCCTGGATTACTTGACCCGACCCTCACGTGCCTTCCTCTCACTGTGGCTGTGACTCCATGCAAGCTCCGCCTCCTCGGAAAGGGGGCGTGGTCTATGACACTGACCTCAACTAGAGGCCTGAATCTGCTCCCCGTCTTCCACGAGTACCTGACGCAAACCAGAACAAATGGTGTGTTCAGGTGCTATTTCGTGGAGAACTTCCCAGTGTTAAACTAAGGACTCATTATTGACATCCTGCAGGGGCAGTTTCATTGATACACTTCAACACCTGGTTACATGATCGATTCTGATTTAAGGAGTTGATGAAGACCACCTGAACACACCATTGGCTTTCAAAATGGACTTTAAGCAGCTTCATTCTCTCTGTCTTTACTCTTCCTGGTTGCTTTCTAGAGTTACAAGAGAAGGATCGGTCAGTGTTGGAAAGTCAACAAGCAGCAGAAATCTTTCTGGAAAACAGAAGTAATCAAAGAAATAAACACAAATTCAGCACAAACTCTGCATTCAGCTTCAGTCTGACTTTGAAAGATGAATGTCTCATCCTTTTCTGATGATCACCGTTTAATGGAAACTGAGTGTGTGTCTAAAAATATTTTCCAGGCCTGTTATCTCAGGATCAAAACTTTGTTTACTAATTTCCTCTAAATTCTGGTTATCTGGTGCTTTTAATTTACTCATATTATCATATTTAGATATAAATGAACTAATAGTTTTCTTGTGACATGATGTACTGTAATAATGATTATGTGCATGCTGGTTTATTCTGGGACACTTCAGGATCAACCATCACCCCAAAATAACAGCACAGTAAATTTGTGATCATGAGACAACTATTTCTCATACGTCTGCCTAACAGTATAATTCAATCTCAGGATTATATCTCATATTAGCACCCAGTGTTGAATCATAATAACAAAATAATTAAGTTGTAATCTTGAGATAACAGGACTAAAATTAATCCTGACATTTGTTTCCTTTGACGAAGGCTGACTGATCATGACCCGACAGATCTGCAGCCAATAGGATGCCTTCTGCTGAATGTGTCACTCAGGCCTCAGTTACAGTTGCAGAATAAATAAAAGACGTTTTACAAAGCTTTCTGGTCCGGAACTGGTTTTTGTTTGGTTTTAATTTAGGAAACATTGTATTATTGGTGTTATTTCCTGGAGTGTTTTTCTTGTGATTAAATGCTTTTAGATTTGACCTGCAGTGATCAGCCCTCAACCGGTTGTAGCGTGGCTCTCACTCTGTACCGCAACATGTCTGTAGACACAATAGTTAACTAACAAGGTATTTTCCCATTTGAGAAATACAATACTGATTTACAAGAGTAGCTATAGAGGGTTACAAGTATTGTGAATTATAAATGTATTAACTAAATATCGTGGATGAGCGAGAACACCCTTATCTGTACCTGTTCAACCAACTAAATAATCTGTATTCATATCACAGTCCATTCAGGATTTCACAGGCTTTTTTGGGATTGTTGTGGCCTAAAATGCCGGATTTTGAAGCATTGTTGTGAAGTTTTTAGGCATTATTTTGCAATGAAATTGCAGAAGAAAGTGAGCATTGCAAAAAGTTATTATTGTATAATTCGTAATTCATTTTGAATTCATGGCGACATAGCTGTACTCAGAATGGGCGAGACTAATTGGACATTGTTAATTTAAGCTTGAAATTGATGAGATTGATTGATCAGAAGGTTCTATATTTACTAAAAAACTGTTTTATAGAATTAAGCTTCAGAACAAGGTTTTTGATCACAAGCGTAAGAACTATAAATACAAGTTTTAAATATATATGTATATATGTAATATATGTAAGTACAAATATCGACACATTTTACTGTTTTACCAGATACTTGTTTTAGCTAAGTACTCAGTCAAGCCTGTTAAAAATGCATTAAAATAAACAAAGAAAATAAATAAATCATTAAAATGTGCCAATTGTAAATAAAAATGCTGGATATACGTTTTCACAAAATAAAAATTATAAATCATGAAAAAAAGGGAAAATTATGAATAAGTAAATTTTTTAATTAAAACACAGAATTCATGTTAAAGTGGTCTTTAACGTTATTCAGTGTACAAATGTGTCTCTATCATATTTCATTCCACAAGTCAATTTACTTTAACAGTTTACTTTATGGTCGCTAACACTGAAGGCTTCAAAATGAAAGCCTGACAGACAAACAGTACACAATGCAGGCAGCCATGTAACGACAGAGCTGGTGTCACATCAGAAAATTAAATGGTCTAAAGTGCCATTATGTTTTACTCAAGTCGACGGCAAAAACGCTTGTTGTCGTAAGTGCAATGAAACCCACCAGCGAGGAGATACTACAGGCAATTTACACCTGTTAGAAAAAGAAAATTTTAGAAATGCAATATCTTAAACTGCTGTGCCCACAGTCCAATACAAAAAGTGTGAAAATGACTACTTGCTGTTGACCGGGGCGTTATATACCGGACTATTCCTTGGCGAGGACCAGTAAGCTCCTGACGTCTCTACCGGTTGCTGGACAACTGCTAAGATGCAAAAAACAGTCTGGTACATAGCCACCGTAAAACAGCAGACAGACATTTTAAAGCTTTGGTTTTTGTGCAGATTAAACACACCCTAATATAAAATGTTAGTTAGGGAGTTTTAGAGGTGGCTGGTAGGCAGATTCTGTAACTAACTGCTTCCCCCCTCACTTCATATTTAACAGACAGATATGAGTGGTATTGTTCTTCTCGTCTAACCCTCTCACAATTCTTTCGATTTTACAAATTCTCTAACAAGTCTCTTCATAAATATGTTCATTCTGTTCTTAATTTATTCTTTTGCACAGTAATTAAGGATGAAGGAAAGAAATTACCTCCAAAACATGAACTCTGACAGCAGCAGTATTTCTCACCTCAATGTCTTATAGTTAAATCCCATCAGACAGCAGAATAAATTCTGTGACGCTGTCAGACTCTAATCATTCATTTCTCTCCATCATCCACTTAATTTACAGAAAAGTTGCCGTTCTGTCCTCGTCTCATTGTGAAATATCCAATCAACAGTCAGTAAACTGTCCTTCGTGTCTCCTCAATGTTCACTGGTGGAGTCAGAGGCAGCAGCAATTCATGAGCCAGCATCAGTGTCCATGTCATCAGTGTCGTCGCCCTCAGAGCGGCAGATCTCCTCCAACGCCATCTCTGACAGACAGGAAACAGGAAGCGGAAAACATGAGTTTATGAGCAATATATATATATAAAGAGTTAACTTTACCTTATAACTGGGTTGAATGATGACACTAGGATTGTACTACATGTATAATCCTATAGAAAGAATGATTGTGTTTATTTTGTAAATTTCCTTTATTACACTCTCCTTTTGTTGGTGGTTTCTTATCTAGCCATTTCTTTTTTACTATTAACATTTTCTCAGCATTTCACATCATTAAAGATTGCGTAAGTATAAAGGTGTGTGTGTGTGTGTGTGTGTGTGTGTGACCCTCGCTCTCGCTCAGCTCTGGGATCTTCCTCAGCGTGTCTCGTACAGCGGGGATCACCTGGTCGTACATGTGCAGCAGTGGCCTGCAGCTCTCTGAGAAGCTGCCGTGATGCAGCAGCAGCCAGTGCAGCAGCAGTAGACACTCTCTGAGAAGAGATGCCGCTGGGCTACGCCACCATGGCAACGAAGGGGCGGGGCACTGCTGGGGGGGCGGGGCCTGGCCTGAGGGCAAAACCAAAAAACTCTGAGTGGGAATCAATCATTTTAGAGACAGATTGTTGGGTGTTGTGGCAAGTTTTAAGAATGGAACGGTGAATATTAGCAGCCTGGTGTTTTAAATCTGAAATGTGACTGACCTGTTGAGTCCGTCGGCTCCTGAGAACCACGAAGATCCAACCACTGACGATGGAAAACAATCACCACTGTCTGAACCAACTGAGAGAGCGAAACAGACAGAGTTTTGTGAAGAAAGGTGCAACACAAACTTTAGTATCACTATATTAAGAGACAGAGGGTCAGAGAGTTTTACCTCAGTGTGACACTGACAGGTGCTGTGCTGGTTTGTGGTCCAGCTCTCTACTCTCTGAGTCATCAGTCTGTTCAGCAAACGAACCACCTGAGGCACAAAAACAACAATGGCCAAAATAAAAGAACTGTAGGTTCTCAAATAAAAGCTTTATTCAAATAAACAAACAGCAAAAAGGATCTGTCTGACATTATACCAGCAACAATACACCTTTCACTACAGCTTCAATGTCGATATCTGTAGAATGTCACAGACAAGAAAATAAATCAGCAATCAAATGCAAAGCATGGATGTGTGGCATACATGCTGTGGAAGGATGCCAGCTAAAAGGAGAGAGCAATAGTAAGCACAGCCAGCTGTTACAGCCTGGGGCAGTGAATTAAATCAACTGATGACCCTCAAGCTGCTGAGGTTGGTCCAGGACAACCCACTACACACAGAGGAAGGGACGTCACAGTGCTTCAAATTAATGTTCATTTCCAAAACAGATATTTAGGACCACTTTACGCAGTGACTGGTATGTGGGTTTCACACAACAACGTCTGTCACTTTTCACAACACCATGAATTTCTTCAAAGATTCAGACTACAAAGACACAGACAGTTGTTGGAGAGAGATCGGGGAGGCAGTGGGATACAGCTCGAAGGAGGCTAAGTACATGTAGAGATTCAGAACAGGTAGAGGTCTCACTTTAGATGTGGTCAGACCACACAAAACAGTTTGTTTGAAACGTAGTAAGACCTTAACCCTGCTGTTATTCACCTCAATCTCCTGTAAGATGTTGTAGTCAGTATTTAATAGCTGATGTGTGTGTGTGTGTGTGTGTGTGTGTGTGTGTTACCTGCAGGTCCAGCAGAATCCAGTCTGTGTGTGTTGCCTGGTTGTCTGTTCTGTTTCTGATGAACTGGAACAACTTCAGGAAAACACACGGGTCTAAAGAAAACAAAAACAAAATCAAACTAAATCAAACAACTGAGTTAATATTTGAAGGAAAATATTAAAACATTAAATAGAAAAATGAGTTACAGTCACTGCAGTAACAGTGCTGTGGCAGAAGGCGGAGCCTCACCGTGCTGGGAGCAGAGCTGCTGAGCCAGTGTCTGGTGGTCAGACATGGACGTAAGGACAGACACACACTCTGAAACTGTCTGCAACCTGCTGTCTGCTGACAAACACACACACACCACCTGCAACACACACTGCAACCTGAGAGAGAGAGAGGGAGGGAGAGAGAGAGAGGGGGAAAAGTCAACACTCTGTAACTCCTCTGCAGTCAGAGGCTGACTTCATCCTTCAACCAGCCCCAGAGTATGTGTGTGTGTGTGTGTGTGTGTGTGTGTGTGTGTGTGTGTGTGTGTGTGTGTGTGTGTGTGTGTGTGTGTGAGAGAGAGGTGACCAGTGTAAAATAATAAATTACTAGTCAACACTGAAAGGATCTGTTTATCTCTCAATGTCTTTTTGTTTCTGGACTGCTGGTCAGACTGAACCACTTTGGATGCTGAAAACTAAAGAGAGACATTTGTCATTAGTTTGGACCGATTAAGATATTTCAGACAGATAATGATAGTGGTATGCAAATGAAAACTAACGATGACAAACAAGGACGTTGATGACAAATTTGCAGATATTTATTTTGGTGATATTTGCATTATGAAAAGCCATAAAATTTCTCTTTGCTCTGTGATAGCAGAAAACAACCACTTGATAACCAGGGGCAGATGTAGAGGGGAGGCATTAATGCTGTCAAAATGAACAAATATAATTTAATGATCTGTTATGGCCACATTTTAGACCAATACTAATAACTGATACTGAAGAAAAGTGAAATTTGTGACATAAATTTAAATTCATTTTTTATAGAAATCAGCAGTTTATTTACAGAAACTTCTCTGCTTCACCTCTGCCAGCTCTTCTACTCTGTTATGTCACATGACTGTAACTCACTGCAGGTAGTTTACTGTCAGACATTACATAACCACTAACAGTCAGTAGAAAAGTCATAAACACACACACACACACACCCAGCTCAGCCACTCCTCTAGCTCCAGTATTGCTCCCAGGTGAGTGTTGCATCATATATATATGAGAGAGAGAGAGAGAGAGAGAGGGAGAGAGAGGGAGAGAGAGAGAGAGAGAGAGAGAGAGAGAGAGAGAGAGAGAGAGAGTGTGTATGTGTGTATGTGTTTCTCAACACCTTTTAGGCAGCTCAAACAAATTAAAAACACAAACGTGGCAAACCTGTGAATTTATCATTAACTCCTGGACTAAAAAAGTCTGTCAGTCTCTCTTCAGCTTCCGCTTTCATCATCATTATGGGTATCATTTGTACTTAATTCTCGACTTAATAATATATTATAATACATTGCCAATTACTATTACTATTATTATTATTATTATTATTATTATTATTATTATTATTATGTGTTGTGACTTTCAATAAAGTATTCAAACTAAAGTTCAATTCATGTTCATCCACTGGCAAAAATCTGTTGTCACATATGATCAGATCTTGTGGGACATATTTCCATTTAAATCTGGTCACCATACAGTTATATACAAAATCTATGAGGCCGACTGTGACCTTTAACCTCCTGACTGCTGGTTGTTGGTAATGATGTGGACTATGAAACTGATCTCTCTCTCTTAACTGAATGAATGTATAACAAAAACAGCTTTGTTGTAGTGACACCTTTCAGTGTGTGTACCTGTCAGTGTGCGTTTGTGGTGTCCTCTCAATTAGGACACACAGAGTCTTCATTGCATTGAGAACAAGCTCCTCCTTCTGTGAGCTGTCGCCGTCGCCTAGTCCGGCTTCACACAGCCGCAACACTGACTGCAGCAAGGCATTCTGGGAGCACAGACCCACACCTGCAGCAGAGCACTCAGCCTAGAAACAGAAGGAGGGGGGGGGGATTTATTTAGGAAATGTTTTTTCTTTAAGGTAAAATGTAACTGAAAAATCTTTGACAAATCAGGTCAGAAAATGACAAATATTATGTTCATTATGTTATTTTGAATTCAATTTAAAGTGGAGGAGTGTGTGTGTGTGTGTGTATTTCTGTGTGTACCTTTTTGTCTGTAACTCTGTTCTGACTTTCCTTCAACAACACAGCCTTGACCGCCTGGGAGCATCACAAAGGTCAAAGGTCAGAAAATATAACAATCAGATGATCACTAGCTCTATACATGAACACTTGAACATTACTAAGATTCATTCAGATCAAACTTTATTGATCCTGTTGTATTCATCTTTTTTTTCCAGTCTGAAAACAATGTGATTCAGCATTTATCAAAATCTCAGTTTAGCGTGTATGTTCGAGCAGGATTTTCTAACATTACAACTAATTTGGAGGTCAACTGAGGTCCAGTAACTCCCAGAAGTGAGATGGGGACACTTAAATCCCAATGCACATTAACTGAGAATAGACTTTTCATTGAAGTAGGAGACATCTTGTGTCTAGTTGTTAAACTAACAATGTTGTTTATATAGCATTTTTATGGATTGTGGATTTTCCACTGAGGGAGGAGTAAATGCAATTTTAAGAATTCTTAATGAGAGAACTGAACTTTGTTTGTGGAAAAAAGAAAATATTTTTATTATATCTTAAAACATGTCTGAAGGAAACCTTTAAACATGCAGAACAATTAAATTGCTCAGTGTGAACTGTGATTTCAGCAAGGATACTTATACTGGGTGGACAAATTTAAAAAAAGGCTACAGATGAAATAGTGATGGAGTTGTAATTAACAGAGCAAACACAATATTCTCTGATGTCTCTTTGGTATCTGCTGGGTCATTACCTCGTCACTGTGGGCGAGCACCAGGTAGAGGAGCCTCAGAGCAGCCAAACCAGTGTCCTCCATGCTGAAACCAGTTAAATCAGCCTCCTCCAGTCTCCCTAGTCCAGCAGTGGGAGCAGCATGGCCTGCTGGGAGCGAGGTGGCAGCAGCAGAGTTTGAACCACCAGCAGACGTGGAACTTAGAGTGTCCAGAGCCTGACAGAGGCGAGACAGGTGAAGGTCCAACAGAGGGAGGATGAGGACAGCTCCAGGACACGACCTACACACACACACACAAACATAAAAAAATTATATTTTTTTAATCTTGTGTTTAGATGCATGTTAGTTCGCTAAATGCTATCCATACTGAACAACGCCCACCACCCTCTGCACAACACCTTCACAGGCAGAGGAGTGTGTTCAGTGGCAGACTGCAGACCAATCCAGCTCCACCAACAGACTCAAAAACTCTTTCGTCCCCCTGGCCATCAGACTGTACAACAGCTCTTAGTCAAGGCAGGGAGGACAATATACAATAGACAATAGACAATGGACAATTTCTACCTTCTTTTGCACATCCATTTGCACTGTTTTACTCCCACTTGCACTCCACTACTGTGTTTTAAGTTAATTTTATTTTTTAATGTATGTAATGTATGTCTTGTATGCTACTGGATACTTGAATACTTGAATTTCCCTTGGGATAAATAAAGTATCTATCTATCTATCTATCTATCTATCTATCTATCTTGCCATAACAAATGATCGAATAACTGCCAATTAACAAATAAGCTGCTTGAATGGTGGCAAAAAATGGCTTGTAATAAACATATGATCATATTTCATGGACACCCCTTACCTGAAATAATGCTCTCCTCTGTAAAACATTAAAAACCAAACAAAACATTGAAAATGGATGTCCCGAGCAACATTATATGGTTTATGGTTTAAAAGCACACTACTTCCACATGTCACCGCCCTAAAGACTTTGGATTGATTCTTCAATGCAGGTATCTTTTAAACTCTGTAATTGTTTCTACCCAGTTCAACAATGAAAGTTGACTCTCTATTGAACAAAGCATTTAGAGACTTGCTTGTGAGTTTAGTATAAGTGGTTCTGAAACTTAAGGCTTGGCGCGATCAAGGATTTTGATTCTTATTTCTTCCATTTGTATGAAAAAATTTAACAAAATAGTAGTTAATGGAAATGCTTTTTAATGGTGAAAAGTCTATAGAAATATACAGTATTAAAAAAGCCTTAGCCTGCCCTTAAGGCACCCACTGAATCATGTTTGTGTTGTTTTTAAGTTGCTACTTCAGTGTAAAGACAGTATTTCAAAGTAATTATGTGGCATACAGGCTTACAGAATGTGCTAGCTGATATATCAGTGAGAAAACACAGCATACAGTTCACAGGGACTCTGTAAATATTTGGTAATTATCTACATTAACACAGTTAATTGGTGGTGATAAATTGTGTTTTGACATGTGGGTGTTTTGGTGCTGCAGTTATATCATTTGGCCACAAGAGGGCTCTATTGTCCACATAACTGTTCAGGTGTAACTGTGTTTTGTTGTTCTGGATTCTTCAGTGAGCAGCAGATATCACAGTTAGTAAAGGTTCAGCTGAGCAGCTGTAATATCTCAGTCCATCAGTCTACCTTTTGTTTCTGCTAGTGGCTGCAGCTTCTGGTCGGCTCTGACTCAGCATGTTGAGTCCAGTTACAGCAAGACTCTGGACCGGACTGAGAGCAGCTCTGGGAGCTCCACCTTCACCGCCACCGACTGCAGCATCAGAGTGGATGAGAAAACCTGCTGACAGGCTGCTGAAATCATGACATACAACACAACATCACATCAGTTAGTCTTTTATAACAGTTCAGCTCCTTTGTGTTTGAACTGTAATGGTTCTACTAGTAGTACGACAACCACCACTGTAGTTGAAACTATGATTACTACTACTCAAGTCAAACTCATATCACAAGGGTTAATGACAACGTCCTTACAAATGACAAGAGGTTTTTCTTAATATTTGTGTTTTGGTGGATTTGGTGACACCAAGCGGTGACTGAAATGAGGTTGATGCATTAAGTGACTTCTGTTAGATACAGTTGATGCTGAAGTGATCATAATCCATAACATCTGATTCATAGTATTGTGTTATTATTGTCCTATAAGATGTTTTTCAGAGCGTTGTAGACAAGAAGAATCTGGTGTGTTAGTTTTAGAAACAAACTTAAGGATCCTGTCACACAGCACTTAAATTTATTAAGTCAGGGTAACTTTCAATGAGCATGAATCCTCTTTTGATTGATCTCTTTGCAACTGTGCTGCTTCACTGAAGGAGCTGGGGGTTAAATGCCTTACTCAAGGGCAATCAGGAGTGATAATGAGGGAGGAGTACGTGATGCTTTTTCACCCCCTGACCCAGATTTGATCTGCCACTCCAGACATTGAACCGATATCTGTTTCTCTCTGAAGTTACTGCTGCAGACACTTTCCTAATACAGCACTGTATTAAGTCAGTGTTATATGTCATGGTTACAGTGATGGGTGTTTACCTGGATGTCAGGTTGATGTCAGTCAGACTCATAGACAGCAGGTGAGAGAGGCCAAGGCTACTAGGAGACAACGGCTGCTGCAACAACAACCCGAGCAGGACGCCACCTGAAGGACAAAACACACACACATACAAAGATTTTTTTTAAAAGTCCTAGATATTATGATTTTTGGTCCCAGAAACACTGTCCCACATTTCCCATAATGCAGCTTAATATTGTCTTTCATTGGACTCTCCTTGCTTAGAAAATGCTTTTTAAATATTCTAAGTCAAGTCAAGTGAGTTTACCACAGTTGACCAAAGTGCTTTACACTTTAAAAAGGGGAAGAAGTACAGAGATTGACAAAAAGACATAACGAATTTAGACTCCATGCTGCCAGTTTATAACTCAGGTTTTCTGTCAAATGAAATCATCCTGAGCGACAGATGACATTAAACAACTGTTTTCACAGGCTGAGCAGTACTGACTGACCTTTATGTCTAAAATATGATGTAATGACTCTCCACTGCTGTCAGAACGGTGTTATCACCAGATATAATTATGTACAAACACTCCAGCGTGATGTTAGGAAGGTTTAATATCTGTCTGAACTGTTATGTTAAGATTGAAACTTTTTGTTCCTGTAGATGAAGACGAAGTGTTGTTCTGTTTTTGACCTGATAGACTGATCCAGTATCAGTTCCTGGTTACAGAGAACACTGAGCAGATTACAGGGTAGAGGGAAAACTCACAGGTGTTCTTCTGTGTGGAGCAGGAACAGTTTTCTTTACTCATCAGTGTCAAACAGTACATTTAACTTTGGTTAATATTTAAATCCTGCGTACTTGTAATGTAATTAATGGATAAATAAACCAAATAAAGCTTTGTGTGCTATTTATATCTTTATTATTTTTATTTAACTGTGTTGCAGGATATTTATTTCCATAAAGCCTCTAAGGAAACGGTACTGCAGACTGACAGACAGACTGACCTCGGGGCTGCAGGTGTGCAGGTCTGACAGACAGGAAGGGGTCTGGACGGGACACCTCCTGTCTGTCATCAGATCTGCTGCCAGACGACCCTCTGTTTCCACCATCTCTCCGTGTCTTCACTGGAGTTGTTCTGCACGGTAAGTGGGCCCCAAACGTCTCCTTGGTGATGAAACCATTTCCTGTTGGAGAAGAGGAGCTGCTGCCGCTCCCATGATGCAACTGGGCGAGACTGCTCAGCACTTTAGGACTGAGACGAGAAAAATAAATAAATTAATAAAAAAAAAAGACAGAATGTGTTTATTCTGGATGAAAAGACTTTTTCCCATAAACTCAAATTATGAAAGAACAATCCCCAGAAAAATTACTTGTTCCACTATCACAATTTGATTAATTTGGTCCTTTAAGTCTAGAAGAGCTGCATGATTAAATCATTTTAATGCCCATTTATATAAGTGGAGGACTCGGCCAGCAGAAGTCTCTGGTGTGCATGCTCTACGGGCCACTGCAGCCTACAGTATGCATTCATCCAGGTAATTTCTGCAGATAGTCGCTTCTTTGGCTTCATGCACCACTGAGCAACTTTCAGTGAGTGGAGCCCCGCCTCCAATGCTGTATTCATTTTGTCCTCAATATATCCACGGTCACAGTGTCCAACTGTTCCACTACAGTGTGCTCTTTAAAATCTTCAAGTGTCTTGTTTTGTCCAACTAACAGTTCAAAACTCAACGCTACAACAGCCTCAGCAGATATTCACCATGTCAACTGACATCTGCAAATAAAATGGCATTCACCGATATTAATGGCCGATGTTTATCTGTTGTGTCACATCAATGTTGTGACATTGCTGTTTACACATTGTGTTGTGGGTAATTTCCAACTTGGATATTGGAAAAATAATCACCTCCATTTTGCAGCACGAGCACACAAATACTGATGTGCTCCATGCAGAAACACGGACAGTGAGCGGCTCTACATCTCACATCTTGGATGAGAACAGAAATAGACTGAGCTGCAACAAGGCAGACTTCTTATTTGTAGATTTGATATTTGCCCTGGCACAAAATAATAAAAAACTAAATATCTGAATTGGCCAAATTGTTCTTTTAAACATCCGTATTGGCCCAGAATTTCCCAGTCTGTGCGTCCGTAATATTCAGTTTACAGAGATATAAAATAGAGTAATATAACATAAAACGTTTAACTGATTATCAAGTCTTTTGTTAGTACTATTTATACTGACCTGTTTCTACGCAGTGGGGAGGCCATCTTATTTCTGTCTGAACTGTGCAGTTTGGTCTTTATCTCATTGATCTCTGCTTCTTTAAACTGCAGCTCTGACTGCAAAGATTGAACCTGAACATAGACAACATGTCATTATATGTTATTCTGAGGATTATATGTACTCTATGTACTGTATACGTTTGTGTGTTTCAGTTTCTCACCTTCTTGTTGAGCTCCTTCTCCCTCTCGCTCTGCTCTCTCTGTCTCTGAGTCTCCAGCAGGATCTGGTTCTGTCTCTGGGCCTCCTTCTCCTGCTGAGCACCTTTCAGAGAGTCCCTCAGAACCCGGATCTCCCCGCTCTTCAACACAATCTCTTCCTCCACCTCCTTCAGCTAATAACATACACATTCATTAGGATATATTATTTATCCAGAGTCTGTTCTCAGGTTGTACAAGTCACTCCTAAATTGGTAAATGTCAAATACTTTGATGTACTAAAAAGCTGACATCAAATGTCTAGTCAGAACAATATTTCAAAACAATATTCTTAAAAAGAGAGATCAAATTTAGAAACTGTACTGGTTATTTATTTATTCAAAAACCCTTTAAAAAGCAGTGGCACACCAGTGGACCAGTCATTTCAAACTCATGCTGTGCAGCCAAACATTGTTTGAACTCACAGTGCTTTATTTTAAATTCTAGTAGAAATACCACAACGTTTGAAAAAATACCAACAATGTCAGGCTGAACTTTGGGGAAATGTGCAAATGAAGCATGTAGAAAATGTCCATCTGATGAAATGGTGCAAATGTCACATAGCTTCTATGAAGAGTTGTAGCAATCTGATACAGAACATACTGTATAGGATAGTGTCACACAGTGAGGAAAAATGTGATCCTTAAAGCTACTTAAGGGGAAATACTGTATGTTAAAAAGGTTAACATGGCAAGTGCACATTAATAAACATTGCTGTACTGTATGTGCCAGATGTAGCCATGTTATTAGTCATTCGTCGTCCCTGAACATATCTAATTAAATAAAGCCACTTTCCAAAAAGCCCTGCTTAACAAAAATTTGAAGTGATACAAAACAATGAAAATTTATTCATGTGAAAATCTCTCATGCAAATGGAATATTGAAGGCGCTGTTATGGCTCTCTGCACTGATTATGTAGTCCTGTTCACTGTGCTGATCTTCCAGTATGATTGGTTTTAAACTTGCTCTGTTGATCTTGTGTCTGTAGGATGTTTTTAAGCTTTATATAAAGTGAGAAATCGAAGAGTCTCACCTTCCTCTTTAGCTCTGCATGCTGAGCCTCCAGCAGACCGTAGGAGTCCTCTCTGTCTGACCCAAAGTGCTGCTGCTTGTTACCTGAACGGAAAACAACAGAGCTTTTGTCAACATGTTCAACACACAACATTTACTGCGTTCGCTGTTTGACCTCCACTTTGACATCTGCTTGTTAAAGAACACTGCAGTGGTTGTGTAGGTTTTAACACAGTCATGGAGCAGAGGTGTATCTATACATCTGGGTGCAGTGTACAATAATGCAGAAATATGCACAGATTCCCCACCTGACAGTATGTGCATGCAACACACAACGAGTGACAAGACAAATGGATTTATAAACTTATTAGATACTCAGTTTCTTATTTATTTATCTTTCTATTTCTGTATTTTCTCTACATTTATGGACTCATACAACTGCATTCAAGGTATGACACTTTCACCTTCAACAAGTTTACACCTGCATTCAGGTATGGATCTTGGTTGTGCTTATGTTGCTACGCTTATGTAAATGTCACTTTAGAGAAAGTTACTCCAACCAAGCTCAGACATTTATTGTTTATCTTTAGTATTTTTTTTATGGAGATTCTCAAATTAAATTTATCACTTTCATTTCTGCTTTTTAAAATTTACAAGAAATTGGAAACGTTTGTGTTTGTGAATTCTATCTCTGAAAGGACACAAAACCATTATCTGTGCCAAACACAAATTGGCTCTTGGTCACAGACAGAGGAACAGACTCTCTGTACCAGACAATGAGCCAAAACATTGTACTTTTCTTATTGTGATAAAGAAGAAATTTAACAGGATCAGATGAGATATAATTCACAGTTACAATATTTTGGACTCACCACCTGGACAGATACATTTGCATGTGTTTTCACACTTATTGTTAAATGATATTTAAAGACATGGAGAAATAAATTAGTAATCTTTTACTCTCAAGGTTTATTTTCGCTGTATCTTCAGTCTACAACTGCCTGGAAGGAAAGAAATCTAAGTAGGAAACAATCTGATAAATGATTTAGAAAATTCAGCAGGAATT